GCGGCGTGGGCTCCACGACGCCCGTGTGCAGACAGCGTCCGCTGAGGAGGCGAGCGAGTTGCTGTTTTTTATCTTAATTTGGTTAGATTTTTGTTGCTATTTCTTTCTTTTATTCCTGATGATGACGATTGCTTGTGTTGCAATCGAAACGTCGTAGTGTGCGATTTTTTAATTTATTATCTTATTCTTTTTACGTGACTTTAGCGAAAGAAACAAAGTTTGCAGTGTTTAACTTAGCTTCTTAAAATTAAATGTCTTTCTCTTTACGGCTTTCTTGGTAAAGTCACGTCGGTAAAAAATAAAATATAATTATTAGAAGTAATAATAGTAACAATGATTATTTTATTTAAATAAAAAGCTAATTAACGGAAGTAATAATAGTAATAATTATTTTTTTATTTAAATAAAAAGCTAATTAATGGAAGTAATAATAGTAATACTTATTATTTTATTTAAATAAAAAGCTAATTAATGGAAGTAATAATAGTAATACTTATTATTTTATTTAAATAAAAAGCTAATTAATGGAAGTAATAATAGTAATAATTATTATTTTATTTAAATAAAAATATAATTAATGGAAGTAATAATAGTGACGATTATTATTTTATTTAAATAAAAATATAATTAATGGAAGTAATAATAGTAATACTTATTATTTTATTTAAATAAAAATATCATTAATGGAAGTAATAAAAGTAACAATTATTATTTTATTTAAATAAAAATATAATTAATGGAAGTAATAAAAGTAACAATTATTATTTTATTTAAATAAAATATAATTAACGGAAGTAATAATAGTAATACTTATTATTTTATTTAAATGAAATATTAATGGAAGTAATAATAGTAATATTTTTTATTTTATTTAAATAAAAATATAATTAATAATAGTATTAATTTTTATTTTATTTATATTATGACTTCTATTAATTTTATTTTTTAATATATTATTTTCTTCTTTATACGTGACTTTAGCGAAAGAAACAAAGTTTGCAGTGTTTAACTTAGCTACTTAAAATTAAATGTTTTTCTCTTTACGGCTTTCTCGGTAAAGTCACGTAGGTAAAACATAAAAATATAATTATTAGAAGTAATAATAGTGATAATTATTATTTTATTTAAATAAAAATATAATTAACGGAAGTAATAAAAGTAACAATTATTATTTTATTTAAATAAAAAGCTAATTAATGGAAGTAATAATAGTAATAATTATTATTTTATTTAAATAAAAAGCTAATTAATGGAAGTAATAATAGTGATAATTATTATTTTATTTAAATAAAAATATAATTAATGGAAGTACAGTAATAATAGTAATAATTATTATTTTATTTAAATAAAAATATAATTAATAATAGTAATTTATTTTATTTTATTTCTATTATAACTTCTATTAATTTAATGTTTTACCTACGTGACTTTACCGAAAAAGCCTCAGAGTATGAATCATTGCAGTCACGAAAGCTTCAAATCTAAAATTAGATGTCTTTGTTTTTATGGATAGGGCTGGTGATAGAGTGGGGTAGGTGTTCATCTAGCAGTTTATCGACCATGGCTGGTGATGATGGGTTGAGGAGGTGTTCATCTAGTAGTTTATCGACCATGGCTGGTGATGATGGGTTGGGGTAGGTGTTCATCTAGTAGTTTATCGACCATGGCTGGTGATGATGGGTTGAGGGAGGTGCTCATCTAGTAGTTTATCGACCATGGCTGATGATGATGGGTTGAGGGAGGTGTCCATCTAGTAGTTTATCGACCATGGCTGATGATGATGGGTTGAGGGAGGTGTCCATCTAGTAGTTTATCGACCATGGTGGTGATGATGGGTTGAGGTAGGTGTCCATCTAGTAGTTTATCGACCATGGCTGGTGGTGATGATGGGTTGAGGTAGGTGTCCATCTAGTAGTTTATCGACCATGGCTGGTGATGATGATGGGTTGGGGTAGGTGTTCATCTAGTAGTTTATCGACCATGGCTGGTGATGATGATGGGTTGGGGGAGGTGTTCATCTAGTAGTTTATCGACCATGGCTGGTGATGATGGGTTGGGGGAGGTGTTCATCTAGTAGTTTATCGACCATGGCTGGTGATGATGGGTTGGGGGAGGTGTTCATCTAGTAGTTTATCGACCATGGCTGATGATGATGGGTTGGGGAGGTGTTCATCTAGTAGTTTATCGACCATGGCTGGTGGTGATGATGGGTTGAGGGAGGTGTTCATCTAGTAGTTTATCGACCATGGCTGGTGGTGATGTTGGGTTGAGGAGGTGATTATCTAGTAGTTTATCGACCATGGCTGGTGGTGATGTTGGGTTGAGGAGGTGATTATCTAGTAGTTTATCGACCATGGCTGGTGGTGATGGGTTGGGGGAGGTGTTCATCTAGTAGTTTATCGACCATGGCTGGTGATGATGATGATGGGTTAGGTGTTCATCTAGTAGTTTATCGACCATGGCTGGTGATGATGGGTTGGGGGAGGTGTTCATCTAGTAGTTTATCGACCATGGCTGGTGATGATGATGGGTTAGTGGAGGTGTTCATCAAGTAGTTTATCGACCATGGCTGGTGATGATGGGTTGGAGGAGGTGTTCATCTAGTAGTTTATCGACCATGGCTGGTGATGATGGGTTGGGGGAGGTGTTCATCTAGTAGTTTATCGACCATGGCTGGTGATGATGATGGGTTAGTGGAGGTGTTCATCAAGTAGTTTATCGACCATGGCTGGTGATGATGGGTTGGGGGAGGTGTTCATCTAGTAGTTTATCGACCATGGCTGATGATGATGGGTTGGTAGGTGTTCATCTAGTAGTTTATCGACCATGGCTGGTGGTGATGGGTGGGGGTAGGTGTTCATCTAGTAGTTTATCGACCATGGCTCGTGGTGATGGGTTGAGGAGGTGTTCATCTAGTAGTTTATCGACCATGGCTCGTGGTGATGGGTTGAGGGAGGTGTTCATCTAGTAGTTTATCGACCATGGCTGGTGATGATGGGTTGAGGAGGTGTTCATCTAGTAGTTTATCGACCATGGCTGGTGATGATGATGGGTTGGGGAGGTGTTCATCTAGTAGTTTATCGACCATGGCTGGTGATGATGGGTTGAGGGAGGTGCCCATCTAGTAGTTTATCGACCATGGCTGGTGATGATGGGTTGAGGAGGTGTTCATCTAGTAGTTTATCGACCATGGCTGGTGATGATGATGATGGGTTGAGGAGGTGTTCATCTAGTAGTTTATCGACCATGGCTGGTGATGATGGGTTGAGGAGGTGTTCATCTAGTAGTTTATCGACCATGGCTGGTGGTGATGGGTTGGGGTAGGTGTTCATCTAGTAGTTTATCGACCATGGCTGGTGATGATGATGATGGGTTGAGGAGGTGTTCATCTAGTAGTTTATCGACCATGGCTGGTGATGATGATGATGGGTTAAGTGTTCATCTAGTAGTTTATCGACCATGGCTGGTGGTGATGGGCTGGGGTAGGTGTTCATCTAGTAGTTTATCGACCATGGCTGGTGATGATGATGGGTTGGGGTAGGTGTTCATCTAGTAGTTTATCGACCATGGCTGGTGATGATGGGCTGGGGTAGGTGTTCATCTAGTAGTTTATCGACCATGGCTGGTGATGATGATGGGTTGGGGAGGTGCTCATCTAGTAGTTTATCGACCATGGCTGGTGGTGATGATGGGTTGGGGAGGTGCTCATCTAGTAGTTTATCGACCATGGCTGGTGGTGATGGGTTGAGGGAGGTGCTCATCTAGTAGTTTATCGACCATGGCTGGTGGTGATGGGTTGAGGGTGGTGTTCATCTAGTAGTTTATCGACCATGGCTGGTGGTGATGGGTTGAGGAGGTGTTCATCTAGTAGTTTATCGACCATGGCTGGTGGTGATGGGTTGAGGGAGGTGTTCATCTAGTAGTTTATCGACCATGGCTGGTGATGATGGGTTGAGGGAGGTGTTCATCTAGTAGTTTATCGACCATGGCTGGTGGTGATGGGTTGAGGAGGTGTCCATCTAGTAGTTTATCGACCATGGCTGGTGATGATGGGTTGAGGTAGGTGTCCATCTAGTAGTTTATCGACCATGGCTGGTGGTGATGGGTTGAGGAGGTGTCCATCTAGTAGTTTATCGACCAAGGCTGGTGGTGATGGGTTGAGGAGGTGTCCATCTAGTAGTTTATCGACCATGGCTGGTGATGATGGGTTGAGGAGGTGTCCATCTAGTAGTTTATCGACCATGGCTGGTGATGATGGGTTGAGGTAGGTGTTCATCTAGTAGTTTATCGACCATGGCTGGTGATGATGGGTTGAGGGAGATGTTCATCTAGTAGTTTATCGACCATGGCTGATGATGATGGGTTGAGGGAGGTGCTCATCTAGTAGTTTATCGACCATGGCTGGTGATGATGGGTTGAGGTAGGTGTTCATCTAGTAGTTTATCGACCATGGCTGGTGATGATGGGTTGAGGAGGTGTCCATCTAGTAGTTTATCGACCATGGCTGGTGATGATGGGTTGAGGTAGGTGTTCATCTAGTAGTTTATCGACCATGGCTGGTGATGATGGGTTGAGGTAGGTGTTCATCTAGTAGTTTATCGACCATGGCTGGTGATGATGGGTTGAGGGAGATGTTCATCTAGTAGTTTATCGACCATGGCTGATGATGATGGGTTGAGGGAGGTGCTCATCTAGTAGTTTATCGACCATGGCTGGTGATGATGGGTTGGGGGAGGTGTTCATCTAGTAGTTTATCGACCATGGCTGGTGATGATGATGGGTTGGGGGAGGTGTTCATCTAGTAGTTTATCGACCATGGCTGGTGATGATGGGTTGAGGGAGGTGTTCATCTAGTAGTTTATCGACCATGGCTGGTGATGATCATGGGTTGGGGGAGGTGTTCATCTAGTAGTTTATCGACCATGGCTGGTGATGATGGGTTGGGGGAGGTGTTCATCTAGTAGTTTATCGACCATGGCTGGTGATGATGGGTTGGGGTAGGTGTTCATCTATCAGTTTATCGACCATGGCTGGTGATGATGGGTTGGG